TTTGATCATATGATGAAGCTTTTGAAATATGAAAGATGAATTTATGAAGATATGCATGTTTCTTTATGAATTGTTGTTGTGAAAGGATTTCTCACATATGAAGTTATTGTGAAAGGATTTTCTTACATAAATGATTCATAAGGTTGAAAGGTTTTCTCACCTAGGATTGACTATTCTCACTACAACAAATTTGGCCTATGGCAACACTAATTCTAGAGAATGCTTAAAAAGTGTTGCAAAAAGTATCTAAGAGCACACTTTTAAAGTGTGACCTTTATATCCAGCTTTTGGCGACAAAAATATTGGCAACACTTTGAAAGTGTGCTTTTTAAAGTTATACGCTACACTTAATAAGCGTTGCCAAATCATAGAACAATTGTCAACACTTATTTATATATATAGTCACACTTTAAATTGTGCTATATTTATAAGTCAAAAAACAACACTTTATAAGTGTGTCGTATTAATTCTCATAAAAAAAATTGCAATAAGAGTCCCTCCCATATAATTTTCCCCCGATTTCTAAAAAATAAGACTACTATGGGATATAGTATCATTTTTGGCTAAAATTATAAGATTCCTCCGTAAACGACTGAAAATACAATTTCTCTGGCGCCGTCCAAGGCCTATAAAATCAGAAGTTCCTCGCATTAGCAAATTTTTTCCAACTTCCAAAAGAGGCTGCTAACTCACAATATATTATCATCAAACATCAAGGAAGTCGCGAATGGATTTCTGTTGAAGATCAAGGTTGTGAAATGGGTAGAGAAGGAGGTTGATTTTAATATTGATTTTCTCAAGAACATGTTCCTTAAGGTTGAATGGAAGGAACTAGCGGAAGCTTCTAGAACCATGGGTTACGCCGAACTGCCTGAAATATTGATGTTGCTCTGTTCGACTTAGATGATTTTGTTCAGAAGTTTCATCATGCCCTTCTTGAGCTTCATCTTGAAGAGGGTGCCTTGGTTTGTCCGAGACTGGCCGGAAATTTCCTTTCAGTAAAGGCATTCCCAATATGCTTCTTCATGAAGACGAGATCTGATTAGTTTTTTTTTCTTTTTTGGGTATTGATGTGTTTTGGTTTGGAAAAGGGGATTAGGGTTCTTGATAATAGGGTTTAAGGGGTGTGTTATGATATACCATTTTGATTGTAATGCTATTATTGGAAGACATTGTCGATATTCAGGAGTAATTACTAGAAAAAAATAGAAATAGAGACCTAAATTTCATTCTTAAAGAATTTTGCTCCATCTCTTCAGCTAAGTGCCCTTTCTAGATTCTACTCTCTTATGTGATTATGCAATTTATGACCTAGAAATTTCATTCATGCTAACCCTTAAGCTATTTGTTTGGTTGAAAAATATTTTGGGATTTTGATTTTTTCAGGAAATGGAAAGAAACCAAGGTTTCTTCTCGGCATATAAGGAAGAGGTGGTGTGTGGGTTATCGTCGAAAGGTCTTGAACGAAGAGTCCATTGAGAAGTGGGTCATCCATTACTAGTTTGCTTCAGAGCAAGAAGATCTTGCTTCATCAACTTCGTTTCAGGTAGGATTTTGGTATTTCTCACAAGTTTGAGAAATTTCTGAAATTTTCACACGTTCACAACCTTCTATGATAGTGTATGTGTGTGTGAAAGAAGAATTGTTCTTAGTATGAATTTCTGAAGGAGAATTGGAGCTTCGAGTTAAATTTCTTCGAGTTTTTAATATATTTTGATATATTTATATATATGATTTGTTAAGTAATTCCTATTTCTACTTGTTTCAAATTTTGTAGAATTGAAGCTGAAATTAAGAATCAATATTTTCAATTCGTGTTCTACTGGTTTCTAAGTATTGTAATTGAATTTTTTTTATGAACTTTGCTAATTGTTACAGGTGCTTTATGCTTTTGTCTTTAAATGGTTTGATTATTATTTTTTTGGCGTTTGGGAGTAATTAGTATGATTTGTTTGAAATGAGGGAAGAACAGTCAGAAAATTAAATCATGTTCATTGTTACGAATTTGTTTATACACTTGTGCAATCATATCTATAGACCATGTTGGCTACTCGAGTGAACTGAAAATCATCTTATTGCTACTTTTCAGTTATGTGGTTAGTGGGGATTTCACTTGAGTATATAGTTTCAAGGCGAGTTTCTTGAATATAATAGGTTATTTTTGTAGGTATTTAAGGAATTCAAGGTTGTTCTATAAGTTATAGCTACAATTTCTCATGTTTCTTGAAGTTGCGATACAATTCAATTTTTTATGTTTTTGAGCTGAGCTTCTTGTGATTGTCGTTATGCAATCTGAATACAAAAGAGAATTTTGCAGCTGAGTGTTGTTTTTATTTTCTTTGTAGATTGATTTAGTTAAGAAGTATTTGCGATAAAACATGTATTTTGTTGTTGCTCTAACTGTTCAATTTCCTTTTCATGATTACTTAGTACTGATTCCTCCTGCAATGGTTGTAGACCAACACCCAACTCAAACGAAGTGATGAGCCAACTATACATGAATGTATTTAACTTTTTGTATTTTATGGACGATTACCATCAGTAACATTTAGGTAACCTCTTATTGTTGCATTTCTTTTGTATCCTTGGTACTTTTCTTTTGAATCGAGAGTTTTTCAGTCTCTGACTTACGAAGGTAAAGGTAAGATCTGTTTACATCCTACTCTTCAAAGATCCCAGTTGGAAGACTGCAAAAAGTATGTTATTGTTAACATTTTAGGTAACCCGGAATGTACAAAAACTAATTAGTGCATGTTGTTTCTTGTCATTCTTGAATAGGCCAAAGTCTACACAGGCAATTAATAGATGTACCTTCTTGTCATTCTTAAATAGGTTTGATATGTTTGATAAACTAGTCTAGGGTTTCAGGATCAAGTCTCCAAATTTACCATTGATTGGGGGTTTTTGACATCAAGGTATGATAGTATTCACCTGTGGAGTTCTTTCCTCCATAAGGTTCCTAAATTCTCCAATATTACAAGTTAGAGTTCTCCAATTGAAATTAGGATTTTATTCAATTTCATGGGTTGCTCTCAATTATGATCCAATTGATTGTTTTATGTATTTTTATGCATGAATTGAGATAACTACATGTTTTTAAGTTCAATGCAATTGAACCCATGCATGATCCATAATTTTCTGGATTTTGATTATATGATGAAGCTTTTGAAATATGAAAGATGAATTTATGAAGATATGCATGTTTCTTTATGAATTGTTGTTGTGAAAGGATTTCTCACATATGAAGTTATTGTGAAAGGATTTGCTCACATAAATGATTCATAAGGTTGAAAGGTTTTCTCACCTAGGATTGGCTCTAATGAATTCTAGCTTTGATTGGCTACTTCATGTGCCCTTCCATGGATAATAAGATAAGTTAAGATTAATGACTATTCCGTGGGATTTTTGCTTAATTAGCACCGAGAGGATATCAAGATGGAAGTTCTCCCATAGTTGAGGTTGGGTTTCTAGTAGCAATCTCCCTATCACATAACTATGTGTCACCATAGGTTGTCTTAGATAGAGTAAAGCTAGTGGATCCACCTAAGCTAGAAGTTTATGGTTCTTACCTTGGCAAGTAAGGACATCTCTTTTCGATGTGGAATAGACATTCTTTTCGATGTGGAATAGACACTAGATTCCATGTTATAGCTCACATGGTCTATGTCAGTTAATGGCAAACTTCCCACAAGAATGAACTAAGGTTACTTCTAGAAGTATCTCAAATGTGTTTTAAAGATGTTTAGCATGCATTGACCATGATTTCGACTTATGTCTTCTAACATGTTATTTTATGATTTAGCTTGATCATTGCATGTCATATAAAGTCCCTTTTAGCAAGATTTCATAACTCTTTATGCATTGTTATCATACTTAGTACATTCCATGTACTAATGCATACTTGTGCCTACATTGTTTCACTAATGTTGGGTCCGACGCTTCCATTCCGCACACTCGTGACCAGTGATCCCATATAGACATTGAAGATTGGTGAGTCCTCATGTTCCGAGGACCAAGATTCTTTATTGCTTTCAAATCTTTTCTTTTCATATTGTGATGTATGGGTTAGGTCTCAATCAATTTCCAATAGTGGAAAGTGGCTTTGAGACTTATGTTAGACTTCTATTTTTGATGGAACTCTTTATGATTCAAATATGTCTTTTGAACTCTTTAAGATTCTATTATCTTGTATGTGTATGCTAAGTGGCTTGTATTGGGTCTCTCGAGGTCCTAAATGCCATGTTACGACTGGATGTACTTTGGGTCGTGACAATATTAAAAACTTATAGGGAGATTGTTATACTTAACAGTGATTAGACCTGATATCAGCTTTGTTGTTCAGTGTCTTAGTCAATTGATGCAACATCCCAAGGTTTCACACATGGAAGCTTGTATTAGATTGGGTATTTACTCTAAACAACTTGTTCCCCAACACCAAAAGATGTCTAACAGGATATTTGGTCAAGTTTGGTGATTCTTTGATTTCTTGAAAATATAAGGAGGTAACTATATCAAGGAGCTCAACAGAGGATTAATAGGAGCTTAGCACCTAGAGTTGGTGAGTTCAAAGAATTATTTGTTTGTCCTTGTGAATTGTCATAGCAAGTCTGCTATGCAGAACTGCAATTGCTGCTAATCATCCATTTCATATAGATATTGATTGTCATTTTATCCGAGATAAGACTCAGCAGTCTACTAGTTCCATCATATTTGTCCTCTACTTGCCTACTAGCAGACACTCACCAACACACGCATTTTTTGTCCAAGCTAGGACTGAAAAATATTCTCAATGTGCCTAGCTTGAGATAAATGCAGACTAACTACTTAAACTTGTTAGTTGGTTAATTATTGTTAAGTGCTAAGCTGTTAGAGTTAGTTTTAGACTCTACTGACTATTGTGGTTAGGTGGAAGTTAGCTTATATAGCACTTGTCATTCAACAAAATAAAATACCGTTCCTACTTGTGCAAATATCTGAGTCGGTTAGTGAGCTTTCCGCCATTTTCTCTTCTTTCATCAATGGCATGGAACTTGACATATTTATCTCTTACTATACAGTGACATAAAAGCTCAAGACAAATTAGCTTAACAATGCCTAGGTTCCTTATGATAAAATTGAGCACCAAATTTTGAAAGCTTAATTTAAGAGCTCAAATAGACTTCTCAATGCTATACATATATCACCTCCCTGTGCCACCATCAAGAATAAAATGTTTGCCGCCTATACGAATGGAACCGTTATGATGAACAACGTCTTGATTGCCATGGAATTACGGGGTGACTTTTCATAGCATTGTGCCTTTAACAACTTAAAAGGCAAAGTCAACCGACTACATCTTTAGTCTTCAAGTGCTGCAATCTCATACCTAACTTCTTCCAAATGTTCATTTATTGCCGTCACTGCATCTTGAACACCATTGATAGCCTCCTTGAGAGCATTATCAAATTCTGCATCAGCTTCTGCTTCTTCAGTGCCTGAAGCTTCGGTTATCTTCTGGATATGCACGCATTCATGTCCAGTTGGCTTACTAAATCTACAATTTTCATGACTCACCAGACGCTCCGAGGGGCGGCCAGCTCTTTTCAAGACTTGTATTGTGGCGGTCTGCCAGACAAATTGTGACAAAACATCAAGCAAAGTCATAAAAAGAAATGGAAGCTTGCCATGTGTCTCACGTACATAGACAACATACATAGCAGCACTCTGAACATCAAATATTTGGACTAATTCTTGAAACTAGGATACATAAGAAGAGGGAAGTTAATCATGGGAAGATAGTTTGGGCATGGATTCTGGAGAAGATTAAAATTATACCCAGTTCCCACGTTCAGATTTATATAGAACTCTTCCCTTTTTTAGTTTGTTGCTTAAGAGATCGACACCTTTCTACATTTAGAAACACAAACTATTACAGCTCCATTTTCCTCTTAAAGTGATCCTCCTAACGGAAGTGTGACACAAGTTTAAGATCATTAGATCCTTAAGGGTACTTTTCGTTGTCATATATTTTAGGTAATCTATCACAAGTCAGTCTTTCTTTCTTAAAGTCGTGTCCAGCCAAACACCGCCATAGAAAATAAACATAGTAGTTCTTAGAAGTCTAAATGTATGTGCATTACCGCCATTATAACGTTCTTAACAACACATCTATTATCATTCTCATCATGCTTATTAATTGAAGCTACCATTAGCTTCGGCTTTATTTTCTGGAAAATATTTTTTAAAATTTTCTGGATAACTTTCTGAAACTTTTTGCTTTGGTCAGAGCTAGGCTACTAAAAATTGATTACCAAAAAAAATCGAATCCCTGTAACTGAGCAAACTCAGTGATGCAAAGCATTTACAAGAAGAGAAAGCTCTCATTCAAGTTTGTCGCCTAATTGTACAACTATGATTACAGATATACAACTTCCTTTAATTTGGTATTTGATTACAAATACAACAGTTAAGACGGTGAAAATTTCGAACATCAAAGAAACAAGCACAGCTGATGTGTTATGTTATTTTCTAAACTCCAACCTCTACAAAGAAAGTAACTTAAGATATATAGTCTAAGCGCAATTATATCTCGGCTATTTTCTCTCGAACTCCTAATTTGTAATATGATTACAGATACAATACGTTTTCTATTCGGTATTTGATTACAAATATAACACGTTTTCTATTCGGTATTTGATTACAAAAATAACATGTTTCTTATCTGGTATTACAACACTTATGAATGAAACTTTTTCAAACATCAACAAAACTAGCACAGGCTAATGTTATGCTATTTTCCAAACTCCAACCTCTACGGATAATGTAACTTAAAATGCACACAGTCTAAACAGTTAAATCACAGTTAGTTTCGCTCAAACTTCTCTTTAGTAGATAATCCACAAACATATACCAAATTTTCTTGTTGAGAACAAAATTATGATGTGAGTTCAAGTATGAAAAAAAATGTCCATTACAAGTTTTGGGATAGAGGGAATTGTAGAGTAATTTTCTCAGGATTATGAAAGGTAGCTATGTAAGAAAGGTAACAATGTAAGGCTAATGAATAAAGTTGTTAAAATTAAGTTGAAGTTGCGGCATAGAAGCTTAGTGCCTGTTTGGGTTGGCTTTTGATTTTTGACTTATAAGCCAAAAGCCATAAGTTAGAAATTCTAACTTAGGACTTTTGGCTTATATTTATCATTTTAACTTATAACCCGGTTCATATAAGCACTTTTTCAAATTTAACCTAAGCACTACAAAAGTGCTTAAAAGCTATTTTGGCTTAAAAGCATTTAAAATAAGACAATCCAAACATTCTCTTAGTCTGGACCACATTTACAGATTGGAAGTCAAGTCCTGATTGACATTTGAACTGAATGAGGTACTGTGATATTCTTTAAATACTGTGATGTGCGATATCAAGAAAATAAGTCATACAAATAAATGATCTCCAGGCCCCCAAGGCCTAGCTTGAGTGGCAAAAGGTGGAGGATTTGTGGCTTAGGTCGCAGGATCAAGCCACACACCATGCAAAGCGAAGCCCGGTATTTAAGTGGAGAAGGGTAGAGGGGTTATCCACTGAGTTTAAAAGGTTGTGATTGGTCCAACGGGCGGGTCACTAATGGATTTCTCGGTTATCAAAAAGAAATTATCTTCAGAGAAATCCATCACACTATTATGAAACCTTTAGATGACTTAAACAATGATGTGCACGCACACACACAAAAGGAGAATAATGAGGTTTCACCCTAACTGTTTTTGTTTTCATCAGCATGAATTTATTGAAATGCAACAAATTTGGGGTTTTAGGGGTGAAGGGAATGCAAGAGTATCCAAACCATATTCTGTCCAGTAACAAGAAGAGCCAGAACTTGTTCGATAAATATCCTCACCCCCACCCCACCCCTATTTTAATAACGTTAACAACTATCCCCTTATCGTAATCTCTTATCCTTGAAATACACTTCAACTTTTATAAAGCCCTTGAAATACAGTACATGTTCCTTTCCTGTTTGGAATCAGGCCTGTCTGTACCAGCCTATTCCATTTATCAGTCTCCCTGCCAACTTTAGTTTAAGATATTTGCCTTACCATCATCCAATTGCAAAGGTAAGCACTCTGGCAATATGTTTCAGACAGATCCTCGAACTACAATTTAATTTAAAATGGAGTACTCAAGAATTGCTTCCAATTATCAAATGCTAACTTTTGTAGGTGGTCATAAGCTTTTCATCTCCATCACCTTTTTACTGGGATAGATAATAAACAAGTCCACCAACGTTATGACTAAAAAAAATTAAATGGGACCAGTCTTTCTCATATCAAACAAATGCTTTAAATATATGGATATTAATCACTGGTCATGAAACCTAAACAAGCTATTCGAACCAAATAAGCAACAAATGTACCAACACGAGCATAAAAAGAAATTGAGGGTTAAGCAAGGGGAGGAGGCAGCATATAATGAGGGGGTTTGGACCCCCTCGGCGAAAAATATTACTATTTATACATGGTTAAAATTATTTTTTAGGTATGTATAATAGATATCGAACCCCCTTCCACTAGTTCATGTGTTTACTTCTCAGATTTTGAACCCCCTTATTAAAAGTTATGGCTCCGCCACTGGGTTAAGCCATGCAGTCATGCATGGCAAAATAATTCAAGATCTGACATGTAAACCTTTTGAGCATTAAGCATGTAATAAAAGTTGTTTCGAATACTTAGTTACACAATCCAACTTTACGGGTGATTATTAAGAACCCCCTATTTTTGTCCAAAGTGAATTTAATACCCCCTAACAGGTGTTCTGGAAAAAGATGTGCTATCATTTGTCTTAAATCGCGTGAGAAGAGAAAATACCAAAAGCAGCCAAACTCATATACTTGTCATCTTCTTATTGTTTTTTTTAAAAAAAAGTAACTGTATTTAATTAGTTTTTATAACATATTTCATTTTAGGTTTTTTTAATTCTTTTTCCATTTTTTTATTTTGTTCTTTATTCTTCTTTCTTGTTTGTCTTCTTCCCAATCACCTTTCTTCCCTAAACAGACAAACATATCTTTCTTTCTCCACTCCCTTAATACCACTATTAATTTCAATTCTACCTTCACTCAGAGATATATTACATTCTCTTTCACCATAGTTAATGTAGTTTTCGGGAACATAATATTGAGGAACAATAGGTGATAAATTATTGGTCAAAATATATTATCCTCCTCCTTACACTATGTTTTCGTAGAGAAATTTGTTGGTGAATTTAGTATTAGGGTCTATTTGGAAAGCCACTAGATAATTAGAATTGGCATATTTACTAGGGTAGTAATTACACATCCTAGTAATTACAACGTAGTCAAGCTAGGGGACAAAGGCTCCGACTTCGATCAAGTGAAGTGCATAAGGATGAGGAAGGCAAGGTGTTGGTGGAAGAAACCTCCATTTAGTAAAGATGACAAGCTTACTTCCACAAACTCCTGAAAGGAGAAGGGAACAAAAACATTGTATTGGGTGAGTTGGCGTACTTTGAAAGACTTCGGGCAATATAGGTATTTTAGGGTTAAGGAGGTTATACATGCTATTAGTAGGATGAATAGAGGAAGAGCGACCAAACCTGATGGGATTTCGGTGGAATTTTTATAGTGCACAGAGAAGCCAGGTATGAAGTGGTTAACTGGGTTGTTTAATGCAATTTTTAAGACCGCAAAAATGCCTGACAAATAGAGATGTAGTACAATGGTTCCATTGTACAAGTGATATCCAAAATTGTAACAATTATAGGGGTATAAAATTGTTAAGTCACACTATGAAGGTTTGGGAGAGAGTCGTGGAGAAGACTGTGAGGAGAGGGGTGTCCATTAACAAGAATCAACTTGGATTCATGCTGAGACAATCGACTGCTGAAGCATTCATCTTGTGCGGAGACTAGTGGAGAAATATAGGGAAAGAAAGAGAGACCTACATATGGTGTTCAGTTACCTTGAAAAAGTCTATGACAAAGTCCCAAGGGATATCCTCTAGAGGTTCTTGAGGCACGAGGTGTTTAGATGGTTTAGATTAGGACGATAAAGGACATCTGAAATGAAGTTAAGACTCGAGTTAGAATGGTGTGAGGAAACTCAGAGTACTTTCCGGTTGAGATGGGGCTGCCCCAGGGATCAGTTCTTAGCTCTCCTCTTTGCCTTGGTGATGGATGAGTTAACGCGGTCTATTCATGAGGAGGTTCCATGGTGTATGTTATTTGCCAATGCCATAGCACCGATTGATGAGACACGGGACAGAGCTAATACTAGGTTGGAGGTTTGGAGACAACTCTGGAGTCCAAAGGGTTCAAGTTGAGCAGGACCAAGATGGAATATTTGGAGTAAATTCAGTGTTGCGTTGGATAAAGCAAACGTGGAAGTGAGGCTTGCCACACAGAATATTACAAAGAGAGAAATTTTTTAGTATCTTAGGTTGGTAATGCAGGGTAGTGGGGACATCGACGATGATGTCACAAATCACATTGGGGAGGCATGGATGCAATGGAGGCCTGCCTCTAAAGTCTTGTGCGATAAGTAGGTACCACTTAACTTAAAGGTAAGTTCTAAAAGTGGTGATTAGATCGATTGTGTTGTATAGGGTGGAGTGTTGGCCAATCAAGAAGTCACATGTCCAGAAGATGCATGTTGTGGAGATGAGGATGTTGAGATGGATGTGTTGGCATACTAAGAGCAACAAGATTAGGAATGAGGTTATCCAGAGAAACTGAGAGTGGCCTATGTGGCAGACAAGATGAGGGAAGCGAGACAAATGATTTGGGCATGTGAAAAGGAGGTGCAAGAGGTTGGATGTTGGGGGTACGCGGAGGGGAAGAGGTAGGCCAAAAAAGTATTAGAGAGAGGTGATTGGACAGGATATGGCGTAGCTTCATAATATTGAGGACATGACTCTAAATAGGAAGAAGTGGAGGTTGCGTATTAGGATAGAAGGTTAGTCGAGATAGAGTGTTGTCTTGCCTTGCAAAGGTTTAGGATTATTAGTGTCAATAGTAGTGCTAGTTGTACCCTTGTAGTTTTGGCCATATGTTGTTTCTTGTGTTTCAACTATCACACTATTTTTTAAAATAACAAAAAAAAAATTAAAAAAAATTATGACTTGGTGTCTAGGCCAAATTTCGCACACCTCGACTAATTCCATTAGATACCTGCCACCTCCACCAAGGCTAGGGCAGATGGGAAGAATCACCTAGTATTTTATTTGTATCCACTGAGTTTTGAACCTAAGACCTCATTTTTGAAATAACAAATCAAATAGTAATAAAACAAATTAATTGAATTCAAAAATATAACTTAAATTCAAAATCCAAAAAAGAAAGTTTAACATAATTATGAATACTCTTATGTCCAATTCAACATAATACAAAGTAAGCTTCAATAGAACTTAAGTAAATACAATCCAAAAGAAAGGGAAAGCATAAGTCTATAACCTCATTCCACAACAAAATTCTACTTAAATAACATCACCTCATTCTATATCAAGTGTGTTAATGACTCATTCTTTATAATATATGTAATTTCAAAAACTAGAATAATAATGTAGCTACACAAAAAAAAAAAAAAAAAAAAACAAATAAAAAATGGAATCACAAGGACTAAAAGTTGGGAATGAGAAGAAAGAAAATAAAAGAAAAATACATTTAGAACTTAAAAATAATTTTAAATGTAAAAATACAAAAAATTAAATTAAATTAATAGAAAAAATAAATTATGAAGAAAAGAAATAAAAATAAAAATACACGGGAATTAAATTTAAAAGTAACCTCGTTGTTACATGATGCAATTGCACTCAATTCTCAACCCCCTTGAAAATTGGAGAGTGCAATTATCCACTCCCTATTACACCCAATTCCCTTCCAAGTAATTGCATGCCCAAACAAATTGGTCAAACTGTGTAATTACACCCAATTACACTGAAATCCAATTACCATATGGCATTCCAAACAAGCCCTTAATTAAACAAAATGAAGAAGGAAAAAGTGGAATAAAATAAATTAGAAATCAAGGGAAATTTTTCAATTGCCTGGCCCCTGGGAAGATTTGTGCTCATCGGCACCATTTTTTCCTACAAGATGGTGATTCATTTTATTCACTTTATCTCAACGATCTAGGTGTGTGCTGGATTATTTTTCTCACTTTTTTCTCCTGTTTTCTGTGATTAAAAATGTTACTGATACTCTGATAGTTTTGAAAACAATATTAGACTAGGACAATATATTGTAGGTTGTTGGCAATGGCTGTAGGTGTATATTGATGTTGGCAGCTCAGGATAATGGTGATTGGAAATTAAAAATAAAATAAAAGGAGAAGATGAAGTAGTCGAGTAACAGTTGAAGCAAAGGGAGTCGTGGAGTGGTAGAATGTCCGTGGGAGAAGAGGGAATGGCAGAAGTATATGAAATTTGGAGATGGTGGAAGTGGAAAAAAGTGTAAATGGAGTGATTAAAAAATTAAGTGGATTTTCACTGGGTATGTTGTTTGAGGTGGCATATGACGTGGCTGTGTGTGTAACATACTGCCCCTCATTAGATTGGATCTTCATTTTCAAAAGGGTATTAAATTCACTTCGGACGAAAAAATAGGGGGGTAAATAATCACCTGTGAAGTCGAATTATGTAACTAAGTTTTCAGGACAAGTTTAGGAGGGGCATTTTATGTACTTTCTCAATGTTTTTACTACATTAAGAAGACCACTGATGCACAGAAACTCTCAAAGTTCCTGGTCACTCAATTTCTGCCACTACATGTTTATTGCGCTTCAGTTATCATTTCATTTTGTTATGTTATTGTTCCTTTTCTTTGTATGTTTTAGAATGATTCCCCCATTATTTGTGATGTCTTCCTTGCTTTTGTTTTCTCCTTTTAAATTTGCTTTGATATGCATTACTTGAGCCAAGGGTCTTCCGAAAACCTCTCTACCTCGGGTAAGGTATGCCTACACACTACCCTCCCCAGACCCCACTGTGGGATTACACTGGGCATGTTCTACTGATGCACAGAAACAAAAAGTCAAACAGAACATATACTATTTCACAGCTAATATCTATAATAAATAACTGCAAATTCAATGACAGAAATACCAGCTGCAGCTTCATCTTTTCTTGATTTTGAACAGATCTCAAAAGTAGAGACAGATCTTCTCGGAAGCAATGGGCAGTTAGAAACTGAGACTCCATCTCAAGGACCTGGAGTGATGAAAATTGCTCAGAAATTGCAAACATGATGCCATTGTTCAGAGCTATAAGCCAAACCACAGTTATGGGCGGCAGACAGTAGGATTATAACACCACTGGCAGAGTTGAGGTATAGTGAATGATGAAAGTGAAGGGATCATGACTGGTACTATCAAGGAGCTCGTGGATAAGATGGATAAACTACACCTCATGTTTGCTTATGCATTAAGTGTAGGATGGTAGCTGAGGTCTATGTTGCTCGAACCCTCCAAATATGTTCTCGCACAGGTGCCGGATTATCCAAAAATACACTATTTTGAAGTATCCGACACACACCCATCGATATTTTTAAAGAGTCCGAGCAACATAGGCTAAAGTTGTCTACCTCTGAATAATTCGACTATGTACAACTATTATATGCAGTAAGAAAATTTATAAATATTAGTTGGGAGTGGCAGCGCTTGGTGTGGGTCATCAGGAGGGAAAGGGTCAAAGATGAACTTTTCATCCCTATCCGGATGGAGGGTCTTCTTCTTTTGATAAGAACCTAACAATTAAGGAGGGGTTTCTCATAGGCAGGATTAACCAATTAAGTATGGATTACAGTATGAGTGAACTGTTAATACACAGGTAGATCCGATCTCTAATCCTGTCCCCCTCCTTCAAAACAAACTAGAAGCTGGATTAATATCTGCACGATGCACCACCATACTGACCTGCTTTGAACAATCATTAAATTCAGCAGTGATCTCACTGCATAGCTGTTGGTAAGTTGATTCTACTCCTGAAGCCATATAATCTTCAAAACCTCTGCAAGTCAAAGGGCATGAGCAGACCATTTAGAACTGCAACACATCCAGACTAAAAGATAAAAGAAAGATTATACATTTTTATGCTCTAAAAGAAAACACAAACCACAGGTCATAGCAATCAAAATTGACATGAAAGAAGCAACAGTCAAGATAATCAGATCATATTGGTTTCTGCCCATAAATGGTGCAAATTAGGAATGAGAAACAGAATTACTTACTGATAACTAAAACATCATTTCAGTAAGCAATGACTATTTTTTATTTACTTTTTATTCTTTACTTTTTGATGGCTGTGTTGTTTGGGCCAGCTTTCGCACACCTCGACTAATTCCATGGAATACTTTCCACCTCCCACCAGCAACAAGTACCGAGTAGCTCTGTCCACCAAGGCTAAGGCTGAAGAATCACCTAGTGTTTTTTGTCTCCGTTGAGTTTTGAACTGACACCTCAAGGTTCTAAACCACTTCATTAACCACTAGGCCACACCCTTGGGTGCCAGTAAGTAATGACTACTATAAGGCTTGAATGTCATATCAATTACCCATCTCCATCATCTTCCATGCTTGTTCTCTTACCTCCTTTACTTTTTCTTTTTTAGTCTTTTCAGGGTTAGCATACTGTGGTTTCCAAGGCATCATTGGAATTTGGCAAAATAAAATGATCCTTTCTTCCGATCAGCAAATAATTGTTTTCATTTAAATAGAGGAACCAAGGAGGTTCTACATGATTTGTAAACAAAAAAAAAGTCAACTCCAATGAGATCAATCAGTCCATATAATAAGCTATTACATTCACATATCTATTTTTATTATACCCCAAAAAAAAAAAAAAAAAACATAGTATCTTAGAACACAGAATCTGTGCATGGTGTGCGAACTTCTTAGCAGCTTCTATTTCTTTCCTTGAAAATAGGCAGGGGAGTCATTTCCCTGAAGATTCTGATGTGTTTGGCTGGCCAATAATTACTTGCTCAACATGGAATTGAGTGTAATTGAGGTGGGAAATAACTCGTCAATTCTCAAGAGAGAGGTAAGAATTGCCAGTAATTATTTAGAAACTGTTTCAAAAAAAAAAAATGAATTGCCGGTAATTATTACAAGGTGACTTTTCAAATTCTTTTAGTTTTCTCTATCAAATGTATTATTCTTTTAACACTCTTCTCTTCCGTTCTTTTTTTCTCGTCTTCCAAAGATGTATTGCTTTTGGAGCTATTACATTTTTTATGAGCTTTTATATCTTAAAGTATCTTACATTAGCTGGAACACCCCTGGAAGGCAGCACTAACAAAAGCAAATGGGGAATCGTCCCAGCAGAGTAATATGGTGGACTATATGGAAAGAGAGAAATTTCTAAGTGCTTTGAAGGCAACAGCAGCTCTATACAAAAGTTAAAACTGAGTGCATTATTAGATTTTGTTATTGGTGTAGTTCAGATTTTAAAAACAGAATAAATACACTCTTGATTGATGATGTAGCGCAGAAAGTTTGCTCACTCTTATAAGCATGTGACGTGCAAAATAAGTTTAAAACTGATTAGTACATCTAAATTTCATTTTTTAATTGGATACATCACATTTATTTACACTAAATTAATTATCATTATTTTTTTAAATTGACGGATTTTTTTCTCTTCCTTTTTCCTTTCATTTCCTATTTATTTTGTTTTTCCAAACAGACGGTCAATCACCACTTACTATATTGTTTTCTTGTCAAAAGGATGTATCTGTTCAGGGCATCATTTGTTTTGCTCCTATTTTGGATGAATATTTTAAATTCATGGTAGCTAGTTCTAATAAGTTTCGTCTTACTTAATCATCCGTTTGAAAAAAGAAATTGATCACCACTGCCTATAGTCACTGGTCACAGCAACACTACCGACAGAGAACCACAACTGGCTATCACCTCTTTTCTCCCGTTTGTTTTTCCTCTTCCCTGGACCATTTCATCGTTCCAAAAAAAAAATCATTTTTTGTCTCCCAAAATGATCATCAGCACAGCCATCCACCATAGCCACCTTTTTAACACAGCAATCCACCATAGCCGTTAACACACAAATCAGTCTGGAGGTCTCCACCATCTTCCTCCCTTTCACCGCTGGCTTCCACGGCCATTACTTTCCAACTCTCCTCTCACTACAAAAATTCCAAATCTAGAGAAAATCCCCACCTAAAAAATCACTTCCAATTCAATCTTCAATCTCATCACTACCCCAAGGTATAAAACGCATTGGAGATTAATTAGTGAAAGCAACTAATCAAAGGAGTAAAAAGATGGGCCAAACTTCAGTATCCTTGAGAAGAAAGGTGTCCATAGGATTTTTTAAGGTGTTTCCTCACATGGATTTTTGAAGCCATTATCATCCTTTTACTGATGGAAGAAAGGGCGTTGGTGAGATTGAGACTTCAAAGAAAGGGGAACGAAAAAGCAAAGGAAAGAAAATGGAATAAGAGAAAAGAAAAGAAGAAAAAAAGGGATAGGGAGAATTTTTCTTTAAAAGAAAAATAGAAATATACACTTCAGGTGCGTAAATTTTACCCGTTCATACAAAACGAGTCCTCATGTTTTAGGTGTTTATTTATTCTGTTTTAAGAAGTATAGGGGTAATAGGATGGACACAGTATAAGTCTGTAGCTAAAAATCCGAAATAAGTTCAAGGATGCTTTTTTGCCTTTAGAAAACTAAATTCGTATTTGGTAATATATTTTTAAGGAAAAACAAGTATGTAAAAATACCTAGTTATAACTGATAATATTTAATATTCTTGAACACACATATATTTGGAATACTTTAAAGCTCATTTACTTGTTCATCTGAAAAAGAACTATTTGATTTTTTATATGAATTGCACTATGTCAATTTATGTGAAGCTATTTGATGGGTCATGGACCGGGGAGTATAAGAAAGAAAGGATGACCTTTAGAGCTTGTTGTCTTACAATTGTCATAGTCCCTCTGTTTCAATTTGTTTGACCTTCTTTCCTTTTTAGTGGGTGTTTGGATTGGCTTAATTTAAGTGGCTTTTGGATTTTAAGCTCCTTTTAGTTTTGGAATTGTTTGGGAAACAAACACTTTTTTTAGGGCTGGAAAAGTTTTTTTTTTTAAAAAAAAGAGCCAAAAAGCCAAAAGTTGGGTGTCCCAAACTTATGGCTTTTAGCTTATAGCATACAAGTCACTTTAAAAAAGCCAATCCAACACCCCCTTCGTCCGTTTCAAAAGGAATGTCTCTTTCCTTTTTTGGAAACTCTATAGTTTCAACTTTCCACATGCATGTTTAAGACCACAAGATTAAAGGTCATTTTGGTACATTTTACATATCTTCAATCTA